TGGGTACAGATAGCTCTGTGTCTCTTTCTCTCCACTTCTGTCTGCCTCTCTCTCTCTGTTTCACTGTGTCTCCCTGTGACTTTTAATTTTTTTTTTTTAAGGTAAGGTATTCTCTGGGCTCTCAAGCCTCTCCTTTATTGTGTTAATTGGTGCCTTTCCTCACTTCATTTAGGAAAGGCACCAGGGAAGCCAGGCCAATCCTGATATGGATACTGTACTTCAGCTATGTGTGGTTTTCATTTTTGCTTTTTATAATTACAATCTTATGGTTTTTTAATACTCTTTTTTTCTTTTTCTTTTTCATTTTATTTTTTCTTCTTCTTTTCTCTCCTTAATTATTTTCCTCTTTTCTTTATCTTTATTCATTTTCTGACCAGCTTCTATGCACTAAGTGTCTAGATAGGTCCAAGTGAACAGTTTCTAGTGATCTGAATGATTAGGGTCAGAATATTCCTCTCTTCACCCTGAATCTGATGTACAAAAAGTGAAAATGGAATAGGAGAGAGATTGCAGATCACCTCCTTCTGCTCACCTCTTAACACTCAGATTCAATTTCAAGAATCAGGAAGAAATGCACCATCCATCAGATGACTAGAAATCACTGCAGGATCACAAGAAATATGGGAAAGCAAGACAATACCTCTTCTCTAAGGGAAAAGAATAACACCTCTTCATCCACAGACAGTACAATGAAACTCATTGAAATGTCTGATAAGGACTTTAGAATATTCATAATGACAAAGCTAACAGAGATGGAAAAGAGAGACAATGAACTGTAGAAGAGGCAGGAGAAAAGAGCTGATAAGCTCCAAGCAGTGAGGAAATTCTTGCAAGACCTAAAAAAGGAAATACACACTCTAAAAAATAATCAAATGGACCTGTTAGAGATGAAGGCTATAATACAGAAAGTCAAAATCTCCCTTGAAAGTATTTAAAGCAGACTAGATCATAACAGAAAATCAAATCTCAGATGTAAAAGATAGAATCACTGGCCTAGAAAAATCCTAGAAAATGGTCCCCCAAAATGAAAATAATATACAAGAAATACTAGATCCCATCAAACATCCAAACATCCAGATAATTGGTATCCCAGAAGGCAAAGAGACTCATAAGGGCATTGATAATCTTATGAAATCCTCCAAGAAAACTTTCCAAACCTAGAGAGGCACTCAAAGATCCAGTCCCCCAAATACAAAGGATCCCAAATAGAATCAACCCAAGAGATCTTCTCTAAGACACATTATAGCCAGACTGACCAAAACCACAGACAAAGACAAGATACTAAGCTAGGCAAGAGAGAAATATCAAGTTACCTACAAAGGATATCCCATCAGGCTAACAGTGAACCTCTCATCAAAAACAATGTGAGCAAGGAAATAAGGGAAAATATATTCAAAGTGTTAAGGGAAAAGCAATTTCAACCAAAAATATTGTACCCAGCAAAATTATCTTTCATATGGAAAGGAAAGACAAGAACATTCTCAGATAAACAAAACCTGAAACAATTTACCAGCACCAGACCAGATCTCCAAGAAGTTCTCAAGGGAGTGCTATATCAGGAAAATTAAATACAGACACACAGATATAAGAGTTCAAAAACTAAGAAAATGGCCAACTTAATCATAGAGACAAGTCTGCAGTTGAATATTATATCCCAGAATTTAATTGGGAAGATCGGACTACAAGAGAAGCTAGATTAAGTACATGAGACTGAACTTGGATAGATTAAGTACATTAGAACTTAATCATAGGGACAAGTCTGGAGTTGAATATTATATACCAGAATTTAATCAGGAAAATTGAACCAGAACAGAAGATAAAAGTACATGAGACTGATAGGTTCATGCATCTACCATTTGAACAGAATCCTAACCTGTTTCCTGGCTTTATGTCTCAAGTATATTTCCTTAGTATTTCTTTGGTTTATTAAACCTAAGACTGCTTTTCTTGAAATGAAAAATATATTTAAAAATACCTTTTAATGACCATAGTAAGCTTTATAGCATCAGCTAGGTTTTACCTTACAGTATATTCATTCTACTCAGAATTTCACATTTAAAGTCAGACATTTATTCACTGATAAGTACATAACAGCTAAACTTAGTACTGAAAGTAGATTACTTAAGAAACTTTGTGAATCAATAAAATGCATGGGGGCGGGGTGTATATATGAAACTAGAAATGGAAAATTAGTGATGATAGCATGTATGATTAAGCCACTATGCAGTATATTCTGGATGGGAAATCACATTTTGTATGTTGCGACAATCCTCAGGAATGAATGTAAATTAGTTAATTAAAGTGTTTCAGAAGAAAATTACAATGCGCTTGTAACTAGATTCCAGCTTTGTCCATAGTTTTAGTTTAAGGTATTTCATGAATCAATAAAATGTAGAAAAAATGTAAAAAAAAAGTAATAATAATAAAATTTTAAAAATGAATTATGCTTTTTTTTTTTTGAGAGGTTTTTGCTATAGGGTGCATGCATTCGCCGGAGAGACAGAGAGAGACAGAGAGACAGAAAGCGAGAAATCACCCCCCAGGGGGGATGGCCATGCTGCAATCCCTTCTCCTCCATTCTCCTCTCGGGATCTTGGGCACGCACGGACAAGCGCCCGGCGTGCGTTTAAGCTGCCGGGTCCAGGACGAGAACTGCGATTGACTACATGGGAGTCCAGCGACATAGCCATTACACTAACTGCTGGTTCCAAGAATTTTGCTTTCTTTTGAGCTGTTGATAGGTTCAGTAATTTGATAAAATTTAGTTTGTTTGTTTTTAATTGAATCATAAACTTTTCTCTTCTCCTGACCCATCTGGAATTGGAAAATATTTGTAAGTATTCCTATTTTGTGGCAGAATGGTTATTTGCATAAGCTTGATAATATCTATTGCCTTGCATCAGAAATTGGAAATACTCATTATTGCCAAAGCTTTGACTGGAATATCAGATCTGAAGACATGACCAGAAAGCTATGAAACTAAGGTAAATCTCAAGAAAGCCAACAGAAGCTCTTGGAAAGATTGCCTGGCACCATAAACAGTTCTGCCTGGCAGAGAGGATTAAAGAAGCTACATGAAAGAATTCGTACCATAAGATAACCTGAACTTTTCTAGCCCAGCATTGTAATCAGTAGAGACTGAAAAAAAAAAAAAAAAAAAAAAAAAAAAAAACGCCACAACCAGCGCAGGTTGAAATTAGCAGCCACAACCAGAGGATTACCGGATTACCTTGAGGAAGACTTTGAAGGAAGAAAAAGAGGCTGATCTTTGCTGGCAGAGGATAAACCACAGAATACTTGGTAGGCAGAGCTGAGCTGGGAAAGTTCATGTGTGAATTGTGTGCTGGGTGTTTGCTTTTCAACAGTTTGAGTAGTTGTCACACAAATATTTTCTCAAAAATATTTAAAACCATACTGGCTCGCTATTATAAAGTCACAAACAAAATTATAACAAATATTTTGAAAGTTATCTTTAAAATTCAGTTTTTTGAAATTCTGAAAGCTATCTATTAGTTGTCAAGAACTATGGAGTATGAGCAAAATTTTTGATATGTAAAGTAAATGTTCATGGTAAAATGTAAAAATATTTTAAAATTTAAAAAAGACAGGGGGTAGATCTCTAGGATCCTTGCTTCCAAGATGACAGGAAAAGAAGGAACAATTTTATAAATGCAGCCAAGTGTGGCCTATTCATTGCACAAACTGCACCCATGTGTGTCAAAATTAGGCCATAAAAAGTTCATCATTCGACATATAATAGAGGCAGCAGCCATCAGGGACATTTGCAGTGCAAATACCTTCAACACCTATGTGTTCTGCACACTGTATAGAAAGCTGTGTGATTCATGCCATTCACAGCAAGGGATGTTGGAGCCAATTTCATGAAGCGCAGAAGAACCAAACACCCCCACTCTGATTTAGATCTGTGAGTGCTGTTTGTATGTTTGCAATGTGTGTTTTAGATAAATGGGATAGAGTATTTATATTAGCATATTTGTGAATCTAATAGCATTAAGAGTACCTTCAAAGGAAAAATCTCAAAAATAAATAAAAAGGAGCTGAATTCTTTTTTTTTTTTCTCTGCTAGTAATAGCATTTATTTCAGCCCTGCAAACGACAGCCCATAGAACTGTGTTTCTGCATGTGTCTAAAGGTCACCATCGTGTTTGCTCAGATTCCAGGTGCTCCCTACAGTCTAGGGGTAGTTGAGAGCACCCGTCAGGGACCTGGTGAGGCACTCTGGTGGCTGCAGTGGCCCAGACCAGACAGAGCAGACTGGGGTCTGGTGCACCATAGCCACCACTGCAGCCAGCCCAGGAAGAGGCCACAGCTGCTTGCCCTTTGGGTGCTCCAGCCCCCAGCACAGGGCGGCAGAGCATACCAGGACCCCAGGCTACCAGGGAGCAGCAAGCCTGTGGCCACACTTCTGCCACACCCACAGGCCCAGCTGCTTTTCTTTGAGACAGGCTGGACCAGGAACTAATGCAGATGTTAGGCTCCTCTCCTAGTAAAAACAGTGTTACAGGACCACACAGATGGTATAATGGTTACCACGGTTTGAGTCCCGGACCTGGTGATTTAATATTGCCTCAGGGTGCTTTGCATGTGTGCCCAACATCCCAAGAGAAGGGATTGTAGTGTGACCATCCCCCCTGAGGGGTGATTTCTCGCTTCTTGTCTCTCTCTCTCTGTCTCTGTGGTGAGCACACATGCCCTATAGCAAAAATCTCTTAAAAAAAAAAAAAAAAAAACATAATACAGTGTAATGTTTCTGTCCAGATAAGAAAAGGAAAACACACAAAATTCTGCCCCTGCCCCATGCACATGCATGTCTGCACACAGAGCTTGTCTCACTCTCTCTCAAAGCCCAGCATACAGCTTCTTGCTGGCACATCTGGGAGTGGGGGGAGGAAGGCTGCCCTTCCAGGGGCTCCGGGAATGCCAGCTCTTCCCGGTGTTAGCCATGTTTGCCACCTGCCACCCCGCCCTGGCCCGCCTACCTGCCATGAGGCCTATAAACAGTCCAAGGCCTCCTCTCTCCAGAATGGCCAAAGCTGAGAGGTGGCAGCATGCAGCTGAACTTCAGTGGCCTTCGGGCCCTGGTGACAGGAGCAGGGAAAGGTGAGTGTCAGCTGGGTGGGGAGAGGCTGCAGAGGGTTGGTGGAAGGGAAAGGTGGCCAGAGCCTGCAACACGGCTGCAAGTCCCCACCTGCCTGCAGAGACTGCCCAGGGCCAACCCCAGGACCTGGGCCCAAGGTGTCCTACACCACCTGGCCAGAGCCCAACACCAGTCCCTCTCAGGGGGGTCCATACAAGACTCCCAAGAGGGGAGAGCTCTTTGGGTCCCAGCTTGGTCCAGACGTGCTGAGTCCTCTACAACTGATTGTCACTCTGCAGGGATCGGGCGGGACACCGCAAAGGCCCTGCATGGCTCTGGAGCCAGAGTGGTGGCCGTGAGCCGCACCCACGCGGACTTGGTTAGCCTTTCCACAGAGGTGAGGCAGCAGCCTGGGCCTGCCCACACCGTCAGGCGCCTCCTGAGCTTCCCAGACAGCCTGACCATCACTCCATGTCTCCACAGTGCCCTGGGATGGAGATCGTGTGTGTGGACCTGGGCGACTGGGAGGCCACGGAGCGGGCTCTGAGCAACGTGGGCCCTGTGGACCTGCTGGTGAATAACGCTGCCGTGGCTCTGTCGCAGCCTTTCCTGGAAGTCACCAAGGAGGCCTTCGACAGGTGGGAAGGGGGACTGCCAGGCCAGCGAGGGCTACGAGGCTGAAGGCAGGGGCGGCCATGGTCCCTCTCTCCTGCCAGGTCTATCAACGTGAACCTGCGATCTGTACTCCAGGTGTCCCAGGTGAGGGGGCGGGAGGTGTGGCCCCTCATTGATTGGCTGCGGGTAGGGTGATGTCAGCTGCCTCGTCCCTCTTGGCTTCCAGATCGTGGTCCGAGGCATGTTGGCCCGTGGAGTGCCCGGCTCCATCGTCAATGTGTCCAGCATGGTGTCCCAAGTCATCTTTCCCAACCTGGCTACTTATAGTGAGTCCCTGTGCACCTCCCATTCCACACACAGGGGCCACTGGGCTGGGGGCGGATTCTCTCCAGAAAGATGACTCACTCCCGACCCAGTCCTCACTGCTGCCCCTCGCAGGCTCCACCAAGGGCGCGATAACCATGCTGACCAAGGCCATGGCCTTGGAGCTGGGGCCACACAAGGTGGGTGCTGGCGGCAGGGCTGAAGTCGGAGGGAGGCCAGGGACCACGAGGCTCTGGGCCGCGAGCTCGGTCCGGGGCGCCTAGGCTGTGGGGCGGAGCCCTTACCCGCCGGACGACCCCCTGTGCTGGCTGCAGATCCGGGTGAACTCCGTGAACCCCACGGTGGTGCTGACGGCCATGAGCCGGCAACTCTCCGACTCCCCCGAGGTCGCCGAGAAGCTGAAGGAGCGCCATCCACTCAGGAAGTTTGCAGGTCAGGGGGCGGGGAGTGCGCGCAGTCGCCGGCCC